ACATTTGTCATTGGTCACTGGAGTCTTCGTCTAATGAAATTTTCCCTGAAGAATCAATTTCAAACTTTTTATTATTATTATTATAATCGTTCATCATTTCATTGCTCAATATTTGAAAAAAAATTAGTAAAAATCCACGATAATCGCTTCAAATATATAGAATATATCCAATCTATTATTCATCTATTATCCAATATTACAATCACACATCAGTTCAACGTAAATAGTAAATTATCGTTTCAACAACAAAAAAAAATCATTTTATTTCATTGAATATAGCAAGCATTCACCGTTTGTCAATATTACTGAATCGCTATTTTTAATCATTTATATTCATTTTACAAATTTAAAAAAAAAATCGAGTGCTGGTTTATACTCGGTTATATCCAAAATGAAAATCATTTCAATATATAAAATCCATCAGCTTTCAAACAAATTCCCATTTACTAAATAATACCGGACGAATATATATTCCATCCAACTAAAACATAGGACACAACCACCATGATCAATGACAAATGAATGAATGAATGTCAAATGAAGAAAAAAAAGAAGTTACAATCGCGACCAAGTGCAATTATATAAAGTTAAACAATAAGTTTCCATTTTCAAAAAAAAAATATATTCAAACATTTTGTTTTTCTTCTTCTCTTCCTTTATTTTTTTCCCCATTCGTTTTGTCTCGAGCTTTTTTTTCAATGAAATTCATCATTTTTACAACAACAAATCAACGAAGATGGTTATGATGATGATGATATCGATGAGAATTAAATATATCGTTTTATTTTGTGATCTTTACACTATTTCTTTCTCTGTTGTTCTTGTATCAAAACTTTTTTTTTCGTTTGTTTTTCTCAATTGTTCTCCAATCTTTTTTTTAAAAAAAATGAAAAACCGAATTCATATTTTGAAAATTCTCTTTCTCTCTCCCTCTCTCTATTGATCATTTGAAGAGAACATCTTAAGATTATTAACGGTGATTATGTTAATGTAAGAAAAACTACAAAACAAAAATTTCTAATGAATGTTATAATTTTAAATAATAATTATTATTTACATTACATAATGATGCGCCCAACCATTGACAAAAAAAAATTTATTATTATTATTCTACTATTTATTATTATTATAATTAATTATTATCATTATTGATTGCAAAAACACCTTCACACACACACACACACACACACACACACACACACATAAGATTTCAATTATCGCTTTGAAATATATTTTGAAGAAAATCTTTTGTCATTTGTGGCGCCTAATCATCAATCATCAATCAACATTATCATCATCATCATCATAATAATTATTATTATCAAATTTTTTTCTTTTTTTTTGGAAAAGATTATACAATGATTATTTTATTTTATTTTTTTTGTCTTTTCATTTCAATTTCAATTTTTGTATTTCATTTTTAATTATTCGTTTTTTTCTTTCTCTCGTCTTAAATTGTTATACACTTTACACACAATTCTTATACACTTCACACACACACATACATCATCGATTCTATACTCAAAATCTTCTTTTCATCATTTCATCATCATCATCAAACAACAACATTCATTCTTTTGGTGACGATCTGTTTTTATAACTGTTGTTGTTTTTCATCATCATCGTTTATTCGTTGTTTATGTCAACAACTGGAATGTTTCCGGTTGTTATTCAGACACATTCGCCTCTCTTTTTAAAACATAGACATACTGATGAATGAATGAATGAATGTGAAAAGATAAACACACTAAACAACACACACACAACACAGAAAAATATCACGAGGAATCATGTCAACAAAAAAATTCGGTACTTACGTATCATTCATTCATTATATACAATCATATAATTGATCTAATAATGTTTATTGGATCAATTTTTTCCCTCTCCCCCCATTAAATTTATGTGCCCATTTTTTGTTTTGTTTCAACATTTCTCAACATTAACAACAACAATAACAGCAACAACAAATCCCTTGGCTAATTTAATACATTTATTCCATTTAGATATTATGCAACAATAATAATCACGATTCTTTCTTTCTCTAACCTTTGTTTTAGTTTCATTCATTCAGATCAGATCAACACATTTATATTTTCGTTTTTTTATTCGTTGTTTCATTGGTCAACTGGCACCAGCCGTATCTTATTTACAGATTTGAATGTCCCTGAATTTTCAATAACATGTTATGTAATTGTTTTATTTTGTGTTTCTTACCGATATATCAACATAATGCATTGTTTTTTCCCAAACACACACAATATTACACATTGATGCTAATATAATTACCGAACTTAAAACAAAACAAAACAAAACAAACAACAATAGTAATGAATAATTAATGAAATAAAAAACTAAATAAAATGGGCTCAAATTTTATTCATAAAAAAATTTGTTTAATTTATTCGGTCGATTTTTTTTTTGTTTCTTTTAAAATTTTTTTTTCCATAAAGCATAAATCATCGTCGAATCTGTTTCATATATGCCATCCGATCAGGAACAACAACCACCACAACAACAACCACAGCAACAGCAACAACAACAGCAACAGCAGCAAAAATCAACACCCGATGACAACGATAATGGCAATGTTGAACCAACATTGTCAGTCAGTAAAAGTCTTACAAGTATTGGTTTTGCTGCAACCGATCGTGATATTGAAGATGATCGTATTATAACTAATATTGATTATAATATTATTAAACCAAACGAATCAAATTTATTACCACCGGTATCAATAAATACACAAGAATTAGATGAACAACAAACATTATCGGCAAATAATATTGTTTGTCATTGTGAAAATCATGATATACCAAAAGATATTCTTTGTATTATATTAATTTGTCCACAACATCAGACAATTGCCTTACAACAGATTATCGATTATTATTATTTTCCATCAACACCATTAAATCAACCGAATCAATCACTTGCTGAAACAATATCATCATTATTCGATATTGTTATTGTTAAAAATAATACTAATAATGAACAAAACAAACGAATAATTCAAGTAAATTTATTACAAATGCAACGAATAAAAATACCAAAATTACGTCGATACATTAAAAAATGGATTTTTTATTCACAAATAATTGATACGCCAAAAAATTGTATTTGTAATTTGAGCAATAATGATTCATCAAATAATGATGAAATAACATGGATGCCAATCACTAAATTACCAACAATTTTTACAAATGTTTGGGGTGGTGAAATTATTCAATTTTTTAATAATGATAATAATTTTTGGCGACAAAATTTTTTAGAAGTTAATTATGAAGAAATTATTGAAGTAGAATTGAACAAAATTAAACAAGAATTACCAGCAAATATTTGTCCAGCTAATTTATCGATTGCGGCTGAATATTTATTCAATGAATTTTATGTTCAATGTCATCCATCAAGTTTAATGAGTTTACCATCATTTCAATTATTTTGCGATAAACTTGAATGGTTTATGGGTGTTTGGTATAAAGAAAGTAGAATAAAAATTTTTAGACATTTTGATCGACAAAATAAAGGTTATCTTGATTATTGTGATCTATTGAATGGTTTGGCAATACTTAACTTTAAAACATATGAAAATCCATTAATAGATTTTCCATTTTTTGAAGAAATTTTTAAAAAATTTAACTGTCGTAATATGGCAACAACTGTTCGACAAAAATTAGTGGACAATACAATTTATTTTGGTAGATGTGAAACCTGTTTAACCAATATGGTAAATGCTGAATTTATCAAATATGAAATTTCATCATTATTGGTTTATATAGCTAAAACTGGTGAAATATTAAAAGTATTTAAATTAAAACCAAATTATGCTCAATGTGAATCGGTAATGACATTTTGTGATGATATACAAAATCGAAATATTTTTTATTTAGCTAATGAATTTATTAGCCGTATTGGTAAAATACAATTTTGTAAAAATCAATCCGAATCAAATTTGGAATCAATTGAAAATTATTATTTTGAAAACAAATCAATAATGTTACATTATTTACGAATGATTTTAGAATTTGCTAAACGTTTATTTGAAAATGAATCACCAATTTTGGAATTACATTCACCTGCATATATTTTTGGATATTTAAATGGTTCGGTAGAAGATTTATTAATGTTTAGTCAGAATACTTTTAAAACATTTCCATTCATTGTACCTGGTTCATTATTATTTATGGGAAATTTTTTAAAAGATCTTGAAAATATTGATTGTCTTATCTATTTATTATGTATGAAAATATTAGTACCAACAAAAGTATTTTTAATAATTGGTCATAATGAAATAAAATTTAGTCAATTACCTGAAGATGAAGATATTATTAGAAATATTATTAAACAAATTTATGGCCTATTACCAATTGCATGTATAATTGATGAACAATTAATTGTAACAAATTTTTCATTACCATCAATTTCTATAACAAAATTAAAAATCATTGCAAATTGGTCACGATCAATGATACCGTTTAATAATATTGGTAAAATTTATTATAAATATGATTTTATTGAAAATACACGTCATTTTCTATATTATCAACAATATAGAATATTTAATCGAAAATATTCAACTGTTTATGAAGATTTAATTGATGAATTAATTGCACAATCAATGATGATGAACGATAATAATAATAAAGATAGTAATCCGAATAGATTATTCGATAATATTCAGCAACAACAGTTAACTAGTCAACAACAACAACATCCTAAAATGCTTAAATTTATTGAACTAAATCATTTATTTTTATCAATACATTCAAATTCAATGGCAAAAGAAAAAGATTTGAATGAAAATGAAGGATTTGATTTTCCAACTAATAATACATATGATTTAACAACAATTATTTCAACAAGAAAATTAACAAACGAACCAACATGTATATTTCTTGATCGAAATATTTTACGTTTCATTTGTATGGATTGAACAAAAACTAAACGAACGATCGAAAAAATCATTTAATAAATTTCTCTATATATATCATCAATAGTCTTCAATAGATGGTGACAGAAAAAAATAAAGAAGAAAAATTCAAAAAAACTAAACTTGTTTCTAATAAGCGCACCTTGCTTAGTGAGAATATAGGTGAATATCGAAAAGAAAATTCGATCAAAGAGAGTCCTCATTTTTGTTGTTGTTGTTGATACTCTGTTCTTGAAAATGAAAATGAATGTCCGGCAAAATAATCAAATGAAACAAATGGCCTAGAATGTCCTCGAATGATGATGATGATAAAATGTTATTGAACAGATCAAATGTCCGCATTTTTTCTTAATTTTACTTTTACTTTTGCGCTTTTATTTATTTATATGTTTTTAAAATAAAACACACACACATCAACATTCCAGTCCTGATTGTTTGTTTGTTTGTGGTGTCCTCGATTGTGTGTGTGTGTCTGATATGAAAAGAAACTATCATTTTTTCATCATTTTTGACATGTCATGAATAAAATGAAGAAAATAAAGAAGATTCACTTTAGATAAATACAAGAAAGAAAGAAAGAAATTTGATTTGACATTGGATTGATAATCGTTATTGATACCTATGGACCTATTCATTAGTCATCAATATATCTGATTGCCTATCCAAACAATAAAAAATTGCAATAAAAATTTTTTTTTTTTAGACATTGAACAAATGATAATCACTCAATTTTTTTTACTTAGTCGAATATCGGATGCAGATGACATTGAAACAAACAAAAAAAAATCGTTATTTTTTTTTCTTCTGGACAATTTCCATTTTCGTTTTTTTTTTGCTGTAAAATCACTTATTATCGTTGGTTGGTCTATGTAATTATCTGCATCTAAGTGTTCCAGGTTCGAAAGAAATCGTTAAGAGAGTCATTGAATAGCGAAAAAAAATGGAGAAAAATACCAAAAAAAAAACGAAATTGTCTCTCAAAATCCGATAATTTTTGATTATCAGTTTCTTCGAAGAGATAATTGGAACATGACGTTTGGCCATTGTTGACGATATTGTGTATGGTGTTTATGGTGGCCAACATCCTATTCAAAAAACAATGATTGTTTCGATCGGTTTGGTTTATGGAACAAACAAATAAAACGATACAATCCAATTGAATAACTGTAGAAAACTTTCGTTCGTTCTGCTTGTTCCAATTGAATTGAATTTTTGTGTGTAAAAAAAAGGGAAAAAAATCTTGAAACAATAAACTAACTAACTAGCACACACACACAAACAAACAGTGATTTTAATTGATTGATAATTCTTCATTTGGTTTGTCAATTTTTCTCACTTTTTCTACTTTTTTTTTTGTTGTATAAACACACAAACACATTCCGTTCAAAGTCAAGTCAAAAGTAAAGAAAAATGATTAGGTCAAAACTCTCTCAATATAATTTTTGCTTTCACTTTTTTTTTGCCCCCGTAAAAAAAAACATTTATATATCAATAATTTGAAATATGCAATGATGGTGGAATGGCCTCAAATGATTAAAATTATTCTTTTCTTCGCCATTCATTCAATCAATCAATCATAATATTGTAAGAGAAAAATTAGCAAATTTTTGACAAAAATCAAGCCAAGATCCTGAATATTTTTTGTTTCTTTTCTCATTAAGGAATCTTATATAAACTTTGGTATTTTTTGTTCCTGAGAAAGCTTGTTTCAAATGGTGTTTTTTTCCCTCAGTAAATCTTGTTGCACAGTCTTTTCGTTGGAGACTTTTGAAGATTTTCTCATATTGCTTATTAGTCTAGTCAGGCCAGGACAAATTTGTCCGATCCATTTATACCATTTTATCTTATTTTCGTGATTTCATATCGTATTTTCTGTTTTATTTAAAGCAGCAAACAAACAAACGATATCTGTTTTTTTTCCGTCATTCGTCTTCGTCGATTTGTATTTTCTCTTTTTTTTTCTCATAAAAAAATTTTTTACTTTCTCTGAAATCTTTGAATCTTTTTGGGCACATAGATCCATAAACAACATCGACACACACACACACACACGTACAATTTTGCTAAAAGCATCGATCATTTTACCTGTAAAATTATTATTAATATCATTTTTTTCAACAAAAAAAAAATTCATCACCGTTTTTTAAAGAAAAAGTTTTATCATTTGTAATTTTTTTTTGTTGTTGTTGCATTAGTGTCTGAACAACACTCAATAAATAATCAAAATTGATATAACTGATTATAACTGGAAAACATCCGGTTCGGATTTTGGAAAGCAAAAAAAAAATTGCTAATTTGTTTTTTTGGTTATTTTTTTATACTGTTGTTTTTCAGTGCAAGTGTATTGTGTGTGTTTGTGTGTCTTGATTGTTTTTCAATTGTTTCTTCATATTGTTTCTCTACCCAGGTAAATTGTTGATGTTGTTGTGGTAATATACCTTGTGCTAATGATACGTATATCATCATCATGTAATTGCTAGTAAAATAACTACTACTATTACTACATGCCCATAAAATATGGAGGCCATTTATTCATTCACCTGAAATTGAAAAATTGAAAAAATTGAAAATTCAAAAATTTAATCGATTATCGATGAAGGCTATTTAGGATTTTCATTTTAATTTAAACAAACATTAGTGAAATCATATATATTCAATCATTCAATTTAATGGTTTAAATCTTTCTTTTCTTTTCTTTTTTTTTCTTGTCACTAAATTTAGTCAATCATTTATTTAAATCGTTTCCTTTGTCAATTTCAATGATCATTTTTCATTTAAAATTCAAAAAATTACAATTTAGATTTTCTTTTAAATAAAAACGAATCCAATTTCATTCAAATAATAATAATAATAACATAGAAGCATCATTGAACATGGAATTGGTCAACCGAAAAGTTTGTAAGTTTTGAAATTTTCAAAAAATTGAAATTTCTAATTGATTTTGTTCTTTATGATCAAAAAAAGATTTCTTCCTATGTATCGGATTATTAATTGTATTCATGTTAATGAATGAATCGGTTGATGCACAGAAAAAACGTCGTAATCGTAATAAAAATAAAAATGGTGCCGATCAATGTCATCAAAAAGAAATAATTAAATGTTTAGATAAATTAACATCATTAGGTAAAGAAGATGATCCAACATCTATTATTACAACATCACAAGGATTGAATAGAATTTGCAAGTAAGTTTCATTTCGTTTTCGTTTTCTTTTATCAACAATCTTAATTTTCCATCATTTGATGTCGACACTGATTTTTGTTGTTGTCATTTTTTTACAAAATTTATATTTTTTGTTCTATCCTTCATCTATTAGGACTATCAAGGATGATACAATGAAATGTGCAAAAGCATATTTTAAAAAATGTGGCACACCATTACATCGTGAGTTAAGCGATTTGGTCATGGATGTTATTATGCATCGTGTCACCCAATTTTGTGACAATAGTCAACAAAAATCAAGTAAGAAAGATCATGTTTTATTATTAGAGTTTAATAATAAAACTGTGTTCGATTGTGACATTGACGATTGATGGTTCCAATCTTTTTCCTTTTCATTTCATAATATTATTTGTCATTGTATCGTTTTTTTTTTGTATTTGATTATTGAATTTTGACATCGAATACTAAATTTACCTTGCGTATTTTTTTTCTTGTTTTCTCCATTTGACAGGATTCCTCAAACATTCACCTTGTTTCCATTCGAAAGTATTGCGTTCAAATGATTTCAAATCTAGTTGTAATGATCCATTTTTACATGTGGCCGGAAAAATTGATATGAATCATTTACGTGCCGATGATGTTCATGAAGCATTATGTTGTGGATTTAATACATGGTTTGAATGTTCTAATTCGATGATCAAACGTGAATGTACGGCTGAAGGTGCACGTGTTGGACGTGAATTTCATAATAATACTCTTGGACCATTGACTGATCTATTTTGTCCATTTGATGTTTTTCCCGGTGGTTCTTCATCATGTAAACGTGTTATGAATGCAGCTAAACCAAAATCTGGTAGTAAACCGGCCGAGAATACGATTTCCAAACTTGCTATTCAATATGTTCCATTCATGTTCACTAGTAGTAGTAAAAATTAAACGAAACAAAAACAAAAACAAAAAAAAACCTTCACAATATATTATTTACAACATTTGGAATCAAATTAGATTCATACAAATTATACACACCTTATCTATTTTTTTTTCTCGTATTTAAATAACAAATTTTCCTTCTGACAAAATAACCGCCGCCGCCGTCGTTTTTGTTTTTGTTTACTTACATTCGATTATTATTCTTTCATCTAAATGATTAAAATATTAGAATTATAAATGATAAATTTGAATTTTAAAAAATATTCACTTAAAAATATGAATTCGAATTGCCTGTTGCTTTCGAATGTTTTTTTTTTTTTTAAATAAACATTCGATCGCCATCTATCTTCGACGAATCAAAACGAATTGAACACCACAATTGATGATAATACCACTACCACAAGAACAAATCAAACGTATACGCATAAAACATGTGTGATCGATCAATCGGCGCGTTTAGTAACCAAAAAAAAAAAAAAAACAGCTTATTTGAAGCAGCTGATCGTCAGCGCCCCCTGTCCATTTCAATATCATTTTAAAGTGAAAATCAAACAAAAAAAAAAAAATCACCAACCAACTCCACCGCTTTCAGCTGCTCAAAACGCAATGTTTCATAAGCAAAAAAAAAAAGCAAAACGACGGAGCAGCAAAGTTTGATGATGATGATCAGCAGGCAAACCAGACATGCATGCAGCTGGTACTTTTTTTTCCCATTCTTTCTTTCTTTGAATTCATTTCGGTTCATTCGACGATCATTCGGATTTTCAGAAGGAAAAAAAATATTTCAGCTGCGTCTGTGTCACTTTACTTTGCTCGAATAACTCACCCAAATATATTGCTTGAATCTCACATGTAACAAAAAAAAAAATATCCTATTCATCCTCCTCCTCATCCATTACTCACCATCCAATCGATCAGCAGCTCGACCGACTGATCTGATCTGATGTGTTCATGTAAGCAAGCAAGCATGCAAGAGGGAGAAGAGAGCAAAGAATAAGAAGAAAAAAAAAGCACACCGCTCTCGTGTTCGCCGTTTTTTTTCTTTTTCTCCGTATGTAATTTTTTAATGCATGCATGAATGTATGATGGTAAAAAGCTCGCGCTAAATTGTATCATCCGTTATTTAACAACAAAACAAAACAAAACAAAATATTATCAAAAAAAAAGTGTTTTGTCTTTTCTTTTTTTTTTCAATCATCATTTTTGGAACAAAAATTCATTGTTGACATTTTGTTTTTCAAAGAAATTGAATCACATTGTCATCGAAGTTTGATCAATTTGATTTTTCAATATTCGATTTGTCACACCCATCCAATCGACACAGTGTTTGTTTGTGTTAGAAAAAGCTGTTTTTGAAAACTGACCGCATGGTTTCAATGTTAATTTTGTTGTCATCGTTTCATACATAAATTTTTTTTATTTTGTTTTTTGTTTTTGAATGATACAATTTCGAAATCATATGTTTGTCATATGTTTGGGCTTCATGTTAATTGTAATGTTTGGATAAATAAATTCTTAAATAATGATATTAATTGAATTGATTTTTCTTTTTTGAATCTTCTAGGATTAAGGTTGATAAACATTAAAATTGCTTGATTGATAGAAATCATTGATAATTGATAATAATAATAATTTGACAATGTCATCAATGGATGGAATGGAACATAATATGGATGAAAAACGTGCAAAACGTGAAATAGCTAATTTAAATGAACGACGTCGTATGCAGAATATAAATGCTGGTTTTCATTCATTACGAACATTATTACCTCAAAAACATGACGGGGAAAAATTAAGTAAAGCTGCCATACTTCAACATACGGCAACATATATTTATCAATTAGAACAAGAGATAAATAAATTGTTGTCACAAAATTCTGAACTAAAAACATTGGCCGGTGGATCGGCAACCAATGCAACTAATACAAATTCACCCGATTGGATGAAACGATTACAATCACAACCACCTGATTGTCCAAGCTGTAAACGACGTAAATATGAAAATAATCATCGATTAGATATTGATTCCAGTCCGATTAATGGTGATGGATCATCAACCGAATCATCATCCGAACATGAATTAAATTCCAATAAATTTAATCGTTCGAAAAGCAAACAAAATGGTAATTCACGATTATCAACAGATGCATCAGCACTTCGAAAACAGCTTTGTCGTATTGAAAAAGAATTGAAAGATGAACGACGATTACGAATAATGCTTCAAGAAGAATTGCAATATCAAGGAAAAACATTGAATGGTAATCGTCAATATAATAATAATCCATCTTCGGCATTGGATCAAATGGCTGATGAAGTAGAAGTAGCTAGCGAATCAATCGAAATTGAAATGCAAAGCTGTCCGGCTAGTCCTCCAGATATGGTCATTGCTTCAAATGAACAGGTGATAACAGGCGGTACCACAATTTATCCATCCGGCCATTATCAATCACAACAAATTGAAATTGGCCAACAACAACAACAGCAACGTGTTCAAAAACAAAATGCTATTGCTTTGCCAATTGATGTTCCGTTTGTGGCACCACATGATGTTGACAGTCCAACCGAATCATCAAATAATATCAACAAAAACACTTCGAATGGTTCTGTTGTTGTTTTGGTAGATTCTAATGTTATGCTTGTTGAATCGAATCGAAATATTAAAACCACTAATGCTAATTTAGCTTCCAATTCATCAACAACAAATGCTGGTCAAAAAACGCAAATATTGCAATTAGTCCCAAATAATTCCAGCTCTAAACATGGTGGTCCAACAATTTTAACTGCAAAACATACAAATTTAACTGTAGGCAACAATTGTCAATTAATAACAATCAAAAAAGAATCATCAAATGAACAGGCTAATACATCAAGGCAAAATTTAAATACAATTGTTGAAGCTATTCGACATGTAGAAGGTGGTTATTTTAATGAAAATACAGATAAAAATAATAAAATGGCTAATAGTGAAACAGAAGATTCTTCTAATCAAGTGGATATAATGCTCAAAACCGAAAATAATAATGATAATAATAATCATTCGGAATCGGCCAAACAAAATGTTGTTGCTGCTGTTGTTGAATCTTTACCAAAATCTAAAACAAACGTTATATTGAATAATGCAAAGATTGTAACTGTTTCCGGTGTTTCAAATACATCAACATCACGTATCTATCAGACAATATCAACAGCCAATTCATCATCATCATTATCATCATCACCGTCATCAAATACAACATCAACAACAACAACAACAACAAGACCTCAAATCATTCAAATTCAACGACCAAATGTTATTGTGGCTAATTCAGTTGAAAATTAACGCGAAAAATTATCGTTTCTTTACATACAAACACACACACAATTCATCAAAACGAAGGTGTGAAAAATCATATTTCTTTTTCTTTTTTTAAAGCAAAAACAGTTTTAGAATTTGATAAATCTTTAACTCTTTATATTTGATCTAAATATTTTTTCTTTTCCTTATCTATATAGATTCTTTTTTGTTTCACTTTATAAAAAAAACTGGACATTTTTTTTCTCCCATCAAAACAAAACAAAAAAACTTCCTCGAAAAAAACAAAACAAATTCGTGTTTGCCTTTTTTGTGAATGATGAATGAATCTCACACACCAATTATATTGCTGGATGCATTGTTTATCGGCGAAAATATTGAATATTTTTCAAATGGTCAAATCGTTTCATCCGTAGTTTTTTTATTCGTTCAGTTTCCAACAGCAAAACATCTTTAACGAGAATTTGTGAATTAGAAAATCTTATCGATTGACAGCGACGACAATATTCTGTTGTTATTGTTGTTGGTATACCAGCTATTTTTTTTTGCCTCTTCTTCCTTTACATATAAATATTTTCTTCTTCTCACAAAGTACATCATCTTTTAATCTTACAATGGATACATTTATCAAATGAATATAAATCTTTTCGATTTAGCTAGTTTTTCTTAATCGTTGTTCATTTTTTTATTTTCAGGCAAAAGAAAAACATCTCCCCCATACATACATACATACATGCAACAAAGTTGTCAATTCAAGAATTTTTTTTTCACTTTTGTTTTTTCTTTCTTTTAATTGGCTTGTAATTCATAATGATGTTTCTTCTTTCCCCGTTTATAATAATTAGTTAGTTAACAGATCTATATATAATATATAATAATTCATGTGTTGAAAAATCAACGGAAGAATCACAACAAAAAAAAACATAATTATTTGTAAAATGATAATTTGTATTTAAGTTTTATTTTTCTTTCATTCTTTCTCTCTTTATTTCACTTTTTTTCCATATAAACACACACAAACACAGACATTTCATAAATGAATAAAAATTTTAAAATTGAAAACAAATTCAATATTTTGAGGAAATTTTTTTCCTGATTGTTTCACAAAAATCGAATGTTTTTTTTTGAATTTTTTTCGGTCCTCTCATATATGAACGGACATATAGATTTTTTCAAGGAAAAAAAAGAGAAAAAAAAAATTTATTACGCAAGCAGCGTACGTTTTTTTTTTCATTAGGTCCACGTAAACAAGAAACTTTTTGTTTTCATTGAAAAAAAAAATTCAATTTGAATGTTCGAATTCGAAACAAACAAGAATTCAATATTTATTTTTTTTTTTAAATCCACCACGGTAATGTAAATAATTCTGATTCTGTTTTCGTATTTTTTAAAAATAAGTTATTTTTTTCGACTTACTATAGGTTTTTCGTTCATTCTTAAATCTTTAATATTACCCAATCATGTTGGATCTTTTTGCAATATTCAGCAAAGGTGGTATTGTTTTATTTGCTGCCGTAAATTCATCGATTAAAGATTTTAATTCATATTTAAATCGTGTCATACGTAATGTGATACTTGAAGATCGTGTGGATAAATTTCAAATCGATACACTTTTATTACAATTTTATCTTGATAATGAATTCGAATTGGTATTTGTTGTTGGCTATCAAAAAATGCTTTCATTGTCTTATATAGATAAATTTTTAAATGATATACAACTTGCTTTTCGAGATAAATATAAGAATTTTGATTCAAAAAATCTACATTGGATATATACGAATCAACGACAGATTTCGAATAAAAATCAAAATGAAGAAAAAGGAACTATTTATTTGGACCAAAGTATTCAATCTGTTGATTCAAATTTAATTGATTTTATTCATGAATTCCAAAGCATTTATTTATCTTGTAATCGTTTTCATCAACAAGTTGGCTCACGTTCACATGCAGCCGAAATGCGAACATTTGAACAAAGTCAAAAATCAAAGAAAACTGTTGCTTCAATGATTATTCAATCAAAAAATCATCCAAATAAATCGGAAACAACTAAAAACCAATCAAATCATGTTAATGGTGATATTGAAGATAAAACATTAAATAAAGATGAAATATTGAAAAAATTGGCTTCAAAAACGACTAAAATTGGATCGCCTAAATCAAAAAAACCATCGAAACCTGAGCCAAAAAAGAAAGTTAAAAAACCAACAGTCTGGGAATTTGGTGGCAAAAATGATACCAATCTGGATTTCAGTAAAAAAGATGCAGATGGTCGTCCAGAATCTTCGGTAATACGTAATATGGCAAATTCGGCAATGATTGACAAAGATCTTGATATGCAACCAGATTTGGATTTTGATGTAAGCGATGATGATGATGATGATGATGATGAAAATGATGCCGTAGAAAAAACATTGCCAACAAAATCTGGATTTTTTGGCTCCATCATGAATTCATTTTCATATAACAAAACATTGGCTAAAGCGGATTTAGATCCAATTTTAGCTAATCTACGTGATCATTTGATAGCAAAAAATGTTGCTGCTGAAATCGCTACCAAACTTTGTGATAGCGTTGCAAATAAATTAATCGGCCAAAATGTCAATACTTGGATCGGCTTAAAATCATTTGTCAAGAATGCATTGGAAGAATCTATCCTGAGAATTTTGTCACCAAATCGTAATCTAAATATTTTACGTGAAGTACAGATGAAAAATGATTCCGGTAATCCTTATGTGATTGTATTTTGTGGCGTCAATGGTGTTGGTAAATCAACTAATTTAGCTAAAATTGCCAATTGGCTATTGCTAAATGATAAAAAAGTATTGGTAATTGCATGCGATACATTTCGTGCCGGAGCTATTGAACAACTTCGAACACATATTCATGCATTGAAAAATATTCATGAAAATCATGGTTCATCGAAAATTGATCTTTATGAAAAAGGATATGGAAAAGATGCTACAGGTATTGCTATGGAAGGTATACGTTTTGCAAGTAACAATAATTTTGATGTTTGTTTGGTGGATACGGCTGGTCGAATGCAAGGAAATGAACCATTAATGAAACAATTGGCTAAATTGATTAAAGTTAATGAACCAGATTTAACATTATTTGTTGGTGAAGCACTTGTTGGTAATGAAGCTGTTGATCAATTGGTTAATTTTAATCGAGCTTTATTAGATAATGGCTGTCGTAGTGCTGCAAATGATAGTGTTTCAGCTATCAATGGTATTGTTTTGACAAAATTCGATACAATTGATGATCAAGTTGGTGCTGCTATTTCAATGACTTATATAACTGGTCAGCCAATTGTTTTTGTTGGAGTTGGACAAACGTATCGTGATTTAAAACAACTTAATGCTCGTGCTGTTGTTAAAGCATTGATGAAATGAAAAACACAATCAAAACAAAAAATGGCTTGAATTTCCATTCCTTTTTCTATTTCTCCTAATTTACTTTGTTGCCTTGTTTTTTTTTCATTATAATTTTTGAATGAATTCCATATTTAATCGTTTGTTTATCTGCTTTTTTTTTAATATTTATGTTTTCTTCGTTTTTCCCAAATGATCGGGTTTTTTTGTTTGGAATATTTTTCCTTCAAATGAAATGAAATTAAAAAAAAATGATTTTTATTCCGAAAAAAACCCTGAATCAAAGTTCAACATACAGTACTTGTTTGTATCCTTGTTTCTTTCAAGTACGTGTGTGTGTGTGTTTGTGTGTACGAATCAAGGAAACAAAAATAATTATCCTTATTTTGATCAGAATAGATTCTGATGGTTGAAAAAAAATGTACATACGTCATGCTTTTAAAAAAAAAATAAAATCATTCATATAATCTACAATGTTGAAAAGGGACGATGAAAAAAAAAATTTTCCATTGATGTGTATTTTTTTTCACTTATTTGGCTTATTGTGCTGCGTAATTCTATTCATTTATCATTTCTATATATAAATAGTGATGAATGACTTGTTTAATTGTTGCTGCTTTTGTGTTTTCGTTTTGTTTTTCCGGCCAGAATATTCTACACGAACATTCTATTTTCGAAACAGAATCGAATCATTATTGTTTCTTTGTTTCTGTTTTTACATTGTATATATGTACAATGTTAATCATAATTTTCGTCCTCGAACTTGACATAATTCTGTTTTCTGTTTTGTGATTAGATTATTATTATTTATTTATTTATTAATGTTACAATTACCGGTTGATTATTATCAACAATTTGATCAATAATTGAACAAATAAAGATAACACACACAGTTTAAACACTTATGCAAACAATATTGTTATATCAAATTGTAATCATCTGGGTATTTTCATTGACTTATTGATTTTTCCGAACCAAAAGAAAAAGAATTGTCGTTTCAAAACAGTAAAAAAAAGTACATGACGACTATTCGAATGTTATCTCTATATAAAACTCAATAGAATTTTTTTTTTTAAAAAAAACGTTCTTTTTGAGCATGTGTGATGGAAGCCATTTTTACACGATTCTGTCATTATGAATCTTCATCGCATTCACATTCGGAATATTCATTCATTTTATTTCATTTTTCGATCGTTGTTGTTATTGTTTTTCTTCAACAAAAAAAGTAAAATTATATAGCCAAAAAAAACCGACTGATAATATATACGATTGCCCTCTACAAGAGCAATTGGAACGTTTTTTTTTGTTTGTTTGTTTGATTCTGTTTCATTCAATGTTACCAGGGAATTGAGTGAGAGAAAATGAAAGCATTTATTATGCAAGAAGATTCTTTTTGTTTCTTTTGAATTGATGAAACCATTATTTCATCATTATTTCATTTCGAAACAATTAAATTTATTTAGCACCTTAACAAAAAACAGATTGATAGGGTGCTGAATTTGTTTTTTGTTTTTTGCAATGATCAACATAAATTTTGAAGCCCAAACATTTAGTATTTGGGCTTCGATAATGTTGTTGATGATTTCTATTATTATCAATCAAGAGAAGAAGAAAGAGACGACGTTTTGTATGATTTAATTTTTCCATTTTATTTTTATTTTAATTTTAATTTTTATTTGGTCTATTTTTAATTGTGTAAATAAGTTGTGTGTGTGTGTTTCAAATGATAATGATAATTTTCCATCGACATTTAGTCACAAAGAAAAACAAACAAACAAAACACAAGAATAGTTAAAATTTTAGAATTCTGATCGTTTTTCTCCCCCTCTAATGATATTTATCCGTAAAAAATGTAAGTTTAAATGTCATTATTATTACAAACTATTACATCATGTTATGTTGATTGTGTTTACATTTATTCAGTGAATCCATCATCATCATATAGAAAATATTGAAATTTTATTTCAACGAACAAAAATTATAATTTGCCATCATCATCATCATCGGTCAAGATGCCTTTACTCAAGCCGAACATTATGAGCGATTTATTGGTTTGTAACCTTGAAATTTTTTTAAATTTTCATAATTTAATGATTTTATTTCATTATTAATATTATTAGTCCACACCTGAACTATCAAGATTCGGTTTGGCCGAAGCCAAAATAAATATTCCAACAACATTGGCATCATCACATTCATCGATCGATACAATGTCCAATTGTGTAAATGGTAAACAGATAAAAAGTTTACCCGAACGTATACCAGCATTTGGTTTGCTTATGGCAATTTTATCTGTGTTTTGTTTTTCAATTGCTTCAGTTATTGTTAGAATATTGATTACATTACCAACATTGGAAATTCTTGTCTGGAGGTATGTTGATTATTTTTTTTGTTAGTCATATTCATATTAATTAATTGATTTTATCGTTTTTATCACTATCACGAAGATCATTATGTCAATTTGTCGTTTATTTTATAACGACCTTGGTTTATGGATATAATTTTTTCGGACAACCAGGACATCGATTAGATTTATTTTATCGTTCAATATCTGGAACAATATCATTATCAGCAGTATATATTGCTTATCGTTTAATACCATTGTCCGATGCCTCTACAATACATTTTGCTTCACCCGTATTTGTAACTGTTTTTGCTTATTTTCTATTGAAAGAACCATTAAGCAAGTTACAAATTATTACAGGAACAATCACTCTTACTGGTGTATTTATTATTGCTAAACCAGAATTTATTTTTGGTTCAGAATCGGATGTAATACATGAAATGCGATTAGAAGGAATTATATTATCAGTGATTGCATCAATGACAGCTGCATTTTCAATGATTGCTTTAAGAAAATTAAAAACAACACCGGTTGCTGTTGTTGTAATGTGGTATTCATTTACATTGGTTATATGTGGTTCAACATATTTAACAATTGCCAACAAATGGATAATACCAAATACTACACAGATATGGAGTCTACTTATTGCTATCGGTTTTTGTGGAATTCTTGATCAATATTGTATTACATTAGCATTTCAATATGAAAAAGCTGGACCAATTTCAGTTGTACGAACATTCAATATTGTCCTTTCATTCTTTTGGGAAGTAATGCTTTTAAATGAAGATATTGAATGGACTTCTATATTGGGTGCTTGTCTTATTTGTTCATGTGTCATTGTATTGGCATTGGTTAAATGGTATAAAGAAAGTCCAGAAAGTTTTGATAAAATTCGTCGAAAAATTTGCTGTTTTTGTCCAGCTCCTGGACCAAAATTAAAATCCAAACAAAAACCACGATTATCATCATTGAAACGAAACAAAAAAGTTAATAAATCTAAATCATCAAAAGATCGAAATTCAGTCGATTTTGAAACCGGTACATTAAATTCAACAATGAAAACAAATAAAAAGATCAATGGATCAAATGAATCAATCGATTCGATTACCGTACAGAATACAGTCAATTCGAATGCAATTCTATTGATTAAATCTGATGATGATGATGATGACGATAATGAATAAGAAAATCAAATCTTAAAAGATGAAAACGATCCTTGAAATTAGAAATCTTCAAAATATTCTAATTATGAAATGAAACTAAAATTACTATGATTATTATTATTATTATTTTGATTATTATTAGGTAATTGATACAGAATTTAATGTGATCTTGATTGTGAGCTAATTCATCAATTCTACTACTAAATACATAACATAACATACATACTATGCAAAACAAAACAAAACAAAATGAAATCATCCTAAAATCTGAGATCCAAAAATTTTGTTTTCATACATTTTCACCATAAAACACACACATCAAATCTAGGCCAATTTGACAACAACAACAGAAGAAAATTCATGCCTTTTTTTCCAAACATCCTTCATCCTTCATCATCATCATTTTCATTATAAACAAAAAAATTTCATCAAAAAAAAATTATCAATGTTTGTTGTAAAACGAAATTATTATTTTTTTTTTTTATTTTTTTGAGTTGTCGATAATTATTATTTCTTTTATGAATTTATTTTTTTTTCTATTCAAAGATTTTTTCGTTGTTTTTTTTAGAAATTTTTAGCTATTCATCATCATCAAGATCATCATTTCAAATCATCAGCCACCAAAAATACAAATCACACAACATTTATATACACCGAAAACAAAGAAGAATGAGAGAAGATATAAAGAGAGATTAAACATTATCGACAATGATGAAGATGATTCATGGCAGATTTTATCTATTATATAATCGATTCATCTTATTTCACAATAATATTTTTCTAAAAAATAAAATTTTAAACCGAAAAAAAATCAATGTTTTTCATTTTTTTGCAGTTTTTCGAAGATTTCTTCGTATGTTTTTTGTATTATTATCAAACGAACGACGAATGAGGTGTGGTGGAATTTCAAATATTTTTTTTCTGCTTGTTTGTTTTGTTTTGTTTTGTTTGGATGTAAATCATGGTCATTATTTCCTTCTATAAGAATAATGATGGAAAAAAAGGGTTAATCATTTTTCTCTATTTTGTCTATATCGAACAACGATTAAAAGAATTGACTTGTTCCTCGTTTACTTCGAAATTATCGTTAAGCAAGCCAAAAAATGATGATGATTAAAAACCGTACAACAATTTACCCGTTGTCATGATGATGATGACAATATCGTGATATAATGTTTGAATGAAATTGACGGGATTATACGATAGTCGTTGTTGTCTTCGTCAAATGATTAAAGCCATGAATAATAATAATCTACAAACAACAAGCAACAACAACAAGAAAAATTAGAAGTGATTCATTCGTTTTTTATTTTTGCAAAACGATGATGATGACCCGATATTGAAACAACCAATGGAGAAAAAAAAATCTATCTTTCAGATTGATTGATATTCATGATATTCAAATTAATCTTGTATTTGGTTTGTCCAATGAGTGAGAGAGAAATGTGAAAAAATGTTTTTTCCTATTGATCAATTGATTGATTGATTGATTGCATCAGTGTTAATTTTAAAACAAGGATGATAATAATAATGAAAAAAAGAAATTACAATTCAATTTGAATGTCGAATACAACAACAACAACTGCTACTGATGAAATGACATCGTGTTGACCGTGTATTACATTCCATTACTGGGTTTTTGTTTTTCGTATAATTATTTTACAATGACAACAAAAAAACAGTTATAAACATCATCATTATCATCGGGTTGTTGTTGTTCGGTATTGATTGGCTGCTGCTGCTGTTGGTGTATCGACCATTGGTTATATCACGAAATTGGTTTCTACAGCAACAACGAAAAAAAATGTAGAGAATGTTCAATTGGTGGAAATAACTGAAGAAAAAAAACCAAAAATATATTTCAACTCTTTTCGAAAAATAACTGGAGGCCAGAAAATAAAACAAGGTAAACGGCCAACTGAAATCTCCAATAACATAAAAAAATCGATTTCGGCATCCATTCCATTCATTCATTTTTCGGCGCTTTACATTCATTTATTTCATCATCATCATCATTTGCCCGATACATAATTGTGAACTAATTTTTTAAATATTCACGTTTTTCTTCTTCTTCGTCTTCTTGTTTCTCAACGATTCCCCATCGAAAAATATATCCAAATGGCCAGAAAAACAAGCAAAAATGAAAATGAATTCGTTTAGTAGTAGTTTTTTTTTAAAAATTCATCATCAATATCATTTTATTGGTCTAGCCATTTATGTTTCTGTTTTCTGCTTCTTTGGCTTTTTTCCCCTTTTCTTCCAAAGATAATTGTACAGTCTGGCAATTGGCCAAAACAACATTGTGTGAAAGTGACCCAATATTTAAAAAAAAATCGAAATAATAAAAAATTTATCCCGATTACCCCCATTTACATTATAAATCAATAAATTAAAAAAAAAGAAAAATTTCGATTATTAATTAGAGAAAAATGATCGAAATTTTTTCGGATTCGGCATTTTGGCGAAATGAAAATCAGGTCGATTCCATTCATTTTTTGTTTCGTTTTTAATTTTTCATAATTGATCAGTGAATGACGAACGAAAACAACAAAAAATTATCGATCGTGAACCGGGCAATCATCATTATCATTAAATCGATTTTAGTCAATATTTTAGCCGATATGAAATTAAATCGCTCGATCGATATTTTCGGATTCGAGAAATAATTTTACATTAAAAAGGATTCTTTATAATTGAAAAAAAAAATCTGGGAAGATTTTTTTGTTTTGTTTGAAAAAATATGGATCATTGATGGTCATTGACCAACAAAAAATTATCAAATTCAGGTTAGAAATAGAAACCGAGAGCGAATTAATGAGCGAAATCAAACACACAGGGAGAGAGAGAGATGTACAAATGAGGATAATGTCAATGTTGTTGTTGATAAAACGACCATCGGCTATTTAGAAGCAAATTTTCAAAATCTCAATTCACATTTTGACTTTGATCGAAATGTTTTTCTTTTTCGGGTCGATCGATAAAACGATAACGGTGATTTTTTTTGGTGATGATAGTGGTAAGAGAAAGATGAAATGATTATGATAAAATCAATGTTATATAATCAAGATTTAAGAAGGTTTTTTAAAAAAAACCAAGCAAAAATTAAGTTGCAAAAAATAGATTATCTTTTTTTAGAAAAATTAGAAATAAATATCCAAAAATGCAAAATGTTTAAAATTTTGTTTGCTTGCTTGCCTGATAAATTTCTTTTTTATTTGACATTTTGTTTCATTAGCGAACTGACTGATAATGAATGGTGGCAATCAAACGATGGAGAAATGCAATAAAATCAAAACGAAAAAAATCTCGTGTATATTCGATCATCATGTATATATATTTCATCGGTTTCACAACCGTTAACCGTATTTTCTTCGGTTTTCGTTTTTTGCCCTTTGGATTTCCCCTCTCCAGTGAAACAAAAATATAGATGCATAAGAATTTTACTATTCACAGATAATCAGTGAAAAAGTGCCTCATGAGAGACGAAACGAAACGAAATAAAAAACAAAACCAATCCATTTGGCATATGATGTTTGCTGTTGTTTTTATTTTTTACTGGGCGCTATATTTAGCCAAAATAAATAAAATGATACGAAAAAAAAAATTTTGCCTGTTTGATTAATAATAATAATAATAAAGGCTGAATGTTACTTACTGCAGTGATGCGATTAGATCATCATCATCATCATCATGATAATCATATGATGATAATCTAAATGTTCAATGTCTCAATAATCATCACAATCACCAGAAAAAAATCTATGGCTTGTTTGGTTTTGGGGTTCAAAGGGGGAAAGGATTGAAAAAATTTCGCTCTCAATTCAATCAGATAAATCCGAAAAACACAACGTAGGTAGTAGCCAAATGAACAAATTCACCTTTACCCATTTCAACAAGTGTTTGTTTTTGTCAATTTTTTTTTGAACAACAATCAAAATAGAAACAAAGAAATGAAAAAATGTTATTGAAAAAAACGAAAGATGCTAGAAATTTAAACACACTTCTGTCATTTGATTTGATTTCTTTGATTTTCTTAAATTGTATACAGTTCTTTTTTTTCAAATATATAACAGACATCAACATTGATTTTCTATAGTCCGTTTTCAATGTTTGATGTGTGTGTGTGAATGTTTGTGATTCGGTCTATACTTGATCTGATTACACATAAGTTTTTTCTGGCTGTCGAACTTGTTTTTGAAAAAAAATTTCAACCAAATACAATATTGATTTATACTTTTGAAAGAGAGAGAGAAAGAATTTTTTTTTTTCGTTTTCTATTTCTGAATTTTCTGATAAACTAGCAACATTTTATGTGTCTCTGTGTGTGTCGGTGTTTACTTGGATTTAATTTTTTTAATTTTAGTTTTTTTTTTGCAAAAAATGATTGATTTTCAAAATCCTTAATAATTTTCTTATCTGGCCATGATTTTAGAAAATTTGATGCAAAAAAAAATGTAATTCAAGAAGCATCATCTAGATCATGTAATTTATTTTTTGTACCGAAAAAAATAAAGATAATTTTCGAAAATGAATCAGTTTTGGATAATCATTATTTATAAAATCACGTGCAAATCGTCGATCAATGATCGATTTGTCATGATGAATTTTGTTGTTGTTTTCATGATGTCGATGATTCATATCCTTGATAATCCTTTTTTTGGGTTTGATTTTTGCCAACTTTTCATCATTGGTTATTTATAGAAAATGTTTGTTTGTTTTTTCTTCAAAGCTCATAATCAGGTGAATACCGGTGAAACTATTGAGGGAGAGCTTTTTTTAATAATAAAAAAACAGTCAAATGTAATCAGTCACCAAATGGATTTTCGATTTCTACATATGTTTTGTTACGATTTATTTATTTATTATATGAAAAAACCAGATTTATTTTGGTTGGCTTTTTTCTCCTATTCTGATTAATAATAATCCGATATAATGTATTATGTTTATTTATTGATTTAATCATTGTGTAATCACATTTTACACCGATTGAATTTGAAGCCTACATTAAAAAAAAGAATGTTTTGTTGTTATTGTTATTTGGCAAAATCAAAATTTATTACCCCGAAAAAAAAG